AATTGCTTGAACCCAGGAGGCGGAGGTTGCGGTGAGCCGAGATCGTGCCATTGCACTCCAGCCTGGGTAACAAGAGCGAAACTCCGTCTCAAAAAAAAAAAAAAAAAAATACAAAAATTATCCAGATGTGGAGGTGCACACCTGTAATACTACCAGCTACTTGGAAGGCTGAGGCAGGAGGATTGCTTGAGCCCAGAAGGCAGAGAGTGCAGTAAGCTGAGATCATGCCACTGTACTCCAGCCTGGGCAACAGATGGAGATCCTGTCTCCAAAAAAAACAAAAAGTGAATTGCCAGCTATCCAAAGAGGACTATAATGAAAAACAGCCAAACAGTTTTCTGCACTACCTACAGAAGGGTTGTTCTGGATCTCTGTCCTAAGTTTTTTTTTTTTTTTTTTTTTTGAGACAGAGTTTCGCTCTTGTTACCCAGGCTGGAGTGCAATGGCGCGATCTCGGCTCACCACAACCTCCACCTCCTGGGTTCAATTCTCCTGCCTCAGCCTCCTGAGTAGCTGCGATTACAGGCACGTGCCACCATGCCCAGCTAATTTTTTTGGATTTTTAGTAGAGACGGGGTTTCACCATGTTGACCAGGATGGTCTCGATCTCTTGACCTCGTGATCCGCCCGCCTCGGCCTCCCAAAGTGCTGGGATTACAGGCTTGAGCCACCGCGCCCGGCTCTTTTTTTTTTTTTTTTAACACAGTTTTGCTCTTGTTGCCCAGGCTGGAGGGGAATGGCGTGATCTCAGCTCACTGCAACCTACCCTGAGTTCAAGTGATTCTCCTGTCTCAGCCTCCCAGGTAGCTCGGATTACAGGTATGCACCACCCTGCCTGACTACTTTGTGTGTGTGTGTGTGTGTGTTTAGAAGAGATGGGGTTTCATCATGTTAGTTAGGCTGGTTGCATACTCCTGACCTCAGGTGATCCACTCGCCTCGGCTTCCCAAAGTGCTGGGATTACAGGTGTGAGCCACCATGCCCAGCCCCCATCACAATTTAAAGGGAAACTTTCACAATGTCTGGAGCCCTTGATGTCCTGCAAATGAAGGAGGATGTCCTTAAGTTCCTTGCAGCAGGAACCCAACTAGGTGGCACCCATTTTGATTTCCAGATGGAACAGTACATCTATAAAAGGAAAAGTGATGGCATCTACATCATAAATCCAAAGAGGACCTGGGAGAAGCTTCTGCTGGCAGCTTGTGTCATTGTTGCCATTGAAAATTCTGCTGATGTCAGTGTTATTATATTCTCCAGGAATACTGGCCAGAGGGTGGTGCTGAAGTTTGTGGCTACCACTGGAGCTACTCCAATTGCTGGCCGCTTCACTCCCGGAAGCTTCACTAACCAGATCCAGGCAGCCTCCCAGGAGCCATGGCTTCTTGTGGTTACTGACCCTAGGGCTGATCACCAGCCTCTCATGGAGGCATCTTATGTTACCCTACCTACCATTGCTCTGTGTAACACAGATTCTCCTCTGGGCTATGTGGACATTGCCATCCCATGCAACAAGTTCACTCACTCAGTAGGTTTGATGTGGTGGATGCTGGCTTGGGAAGTTCTGTGCATGCGTGGCACCATTTCCCATGAACACCGATGGGAGGTCATGACTGATCTCTACTTCAACAGAGATCCTGAAGAGACTGAAAAAGAAGAGCAGGCTGCTGAAAAGGCTGTGACCAAGGAGGAATTTCAGGGCGAATGGACTGCTCCAGCTCCTGAGTTCACTGCCAGTCAGCCTGAGGTTGCAGACTGGTCTGAAGGCATGCAGGTGCCCTCTGCGCCTGTTCAGCAGTTTCCTACTGAAGACTGACGCGCTCAGCCTGCCACGGAAGGCTGGTCTGCAGCTCCCACTGCTCAGGCCACTGAATGGGTAGGAGCAACCACTAAATGGTCTTAAACTGAATGGGTAGGAGCAACCACTGAATGGTCTTAAACTGTTCTTGCACGGGCTCTTAAGCACATGGAAAAAAGGTTAATGGGAAATAAACATTAGTTTCTTTTCTTTATTTTTTGAGATGGAGTCTTGCTTTTTTGCCAGGCTGGAGTGCAGTGGCGCAATCTCGGCTCATGGCAACCTCCACCTCCTGGGTTCAAGCGATTCTCCTATCTCAGCCTCTGGAATAGCTGGGATTACAGGCATGCGCCACCGTGCTCAGCTAATTTTTGTATTTTTAGTAGAGATCAGGTTTTACCATGTTGGCCAGGCTGGTCTTGAATTCCTGGCCTCAAGCGATCTGCCTCCCTTGGCCTCACTGGTGGGATTACAGGTTTGAGCCACTGCACCAGCCTCAACAACAACAACAAAAATTTTAATTACCTTACCCTATGCATCTCTTCATTTGTATCCTTCGTAATATCATTTATATTAACAATAAACCAATAAATGTAAATAAATATTGTTTGTCTCTTCCCAGCAGATTGTAAACCTAATTAGGGCAAGGATCATATTTGTCTTATTCACATCATAGGCACTATGTAACCTTTTTTTTTTCCATTCTTTGAGATGGAGTCTCACTCTGTAGCACAGGCTGGAGTGCAGTGGCACCATATCAGCTCACTGCAACCTCTGCCGCAAGCGATTCTCCTGCCTCAGCCTCAGAGTATTTTTCTTTTCTTTTTTTTTTTTTTTAAGATGGAGTTTCCCTCTTGTTACCCAGGCTGGAGTTCGATGGCACGATCTCGGCTCACTGCAACCTCCGCCTCCTGGGTTCAGGCAATTCTCCTGCCTCAGTCTCCTGAGTAGCTGGGATTACAGGCATGCGCCACCATGCTCAGCTAATTTTTTGTATTTTTAGTAGAGATGGGGTTTCACCGTGTTGACCAGGATGGTCTCGATCTCTTGACCTCGTGATCCACCCGCCTTGGCCTCCCAAAGTGCTGGGATTACAGGCATGAGCCACCGTGCCCGGCCCGTAGTTTTCTTTTTTTGAGGCAGAGTTTCACTCTTGTTGTCCAGGCTGGAGTGCAACGGCACGATCTTGGCTCACTGCAACCTCTGCTTCCTGGGTTCAAGTGATTCTCCTGCCTCAGCCTCCCGAGTAGCTGGGATTACATGTGCAGGCCACCACGCCTGGCGAATTTTTTGTACTTGTAGTAGAGAAAGTGTTTCTCCATGGTGGTCAGGCTGGTCTCAAACTCCCGACATCAGGTGATATGCCTGCCTTGGCTTCCCAAAGTGCTTTGATTACAGGTGTGAGCCACCACACCTGTACAAGTATTTTGTATTTTTAAATTTTGATTATTTTTATTTTTTTTTCACCCTCTCAACCCAGCTTTTTCCAACTCTGGGAAGAACCAGGAAGAGAAGGCTGAGTATTTTGTATTTTTAGTAGAGATGGAGTTTTGCCACGTTGGCCAGGCTGGCCTTGAACTCCTGACCTCAGGAGGTCTGCCTGTCTTGGTCTCCCAGAGTGCTGAGATTACAGGTGTGAGCCACTGCAGCCAACCAATAGGCACTATATAACTATTTGTTAAACAAATGAAGAAATGAATGCTTGTGGGCATCATTCATTCTGAAACAAACTTTTAAAAATTAATTCTACTTTGAAACAATTTCATACTTTCAGAAGAGTTAGAATAATAATACAAAGAAGTTTACCCAGATATGTCATTAAGGGTTAGCCAAACGTCCACAAAATACACTGTAGAGAGTGAGCGTATTCATTCCGGGGTCACTTGAGCAACAAATATGTATTGAGCACCTGCTACTATTGGATTACATAACAGTCTCCTAACTGATTTCTTAGCTACAGCTATTGCACCCCACCCCAGTCCTATACAGCAGCTTCCTTTTACTAATTTAATTTTATTTATTTTTGAGGATCTCGCTCTGTCCCCCAAGCTGGAGTGCAGTGACACGATCTCAGCTCACTGCAACCTCTACTTCCTGGGCTCCAGCGATTCTTCTGCCTCAGCCTCCAGAGTAGTTGGGACCACAAGCACGCACTACCGCCCCCGGCTAATTTTGGTAGTTTTTGTCGCTACAGATAGGATAGAGATCTTTGTCTATTTTGTTCACTAAGTATTCCAAGCGCCTGCAGCTGTACCTGGTACATCTTTGTTGCTCAATAAAGAGCGGTTGAATAAACTACTGAAGGTATGCGGTACTGTTCTCGGTGCTGGAGTTACAGCAGAAAACTCCCTGCCTTCGTGAGATTCTCACTGGAAGTATGCTTAAGCTTAAGCCATTTTCCAAACTTGGCCCCACCATTTTGTTCTCTGTGAGATTTGGGGTAAACTACCTGAAGCCTCCAAGTCTCACTTTCCTATCAATCGTTAAGAAGATTAAACGGAAAAATAGAATTTGTATCGCATTTAGCATAAGAAATGCTTTAGGCCGGGCGCCGTGGCTCAAGCGTGTAATCCCAGCACTTTGGGAGGCGGGTGGATCACGAGGTCAAAAGATCGAGACCATCCTGGTCAACATGGTGAAACCCCGTCTCTACTAAAAATACAAAAAATTAGCTGGGCATGGTGGCGCGTGCCTGTAATTCCAGCTACTCAGGAGGCTGAGGCAGGAGAATTGCCTGAACCCAGGAGGCGGAGGTTGCGGTGAGCCGAGATCGCGCCATTGCACTCCAGCCTGGGTAACAAGAGCGAAACTCCGTCTCAAAAAAAAAAAAAAAAAAAAAAAGGAAAGAAATGCTTTAATATTTCTTTCCCTTCCTTTCAGGCTGGAGCGTGACATCTCTGCCACAGGCTTAAGCGAGGTTTTCACAGGGACTTGGAAAGGTGCAAACAGGTTACTACAGCCAGGCTTACCCAGTTGTTAAGTGAAAGTGAGAGAGTGCTTAAAAGGGTTGGAAGGAGAAACCAGTGAATGGCTAGGACCACCTACTCCGCTGTTTTGCCTCGGAAAAGCCTTGCCCGCTGCCGGGAGGTCAAAGTCTGGAGGAACTGAATGGGAGGAAAAGAAAGGGGGGGTGTATGTCCATAACTGAAAACTACAAATCCCAGGACCCCCCGCGGCAGACGACTACGGGCCCCATCAGGTTTCGCGGGCTGGACCGAGCGGGGCCTCTCGGGGCCTGCAGCCGGGGTTCAGCCAGAAGGGGCGCCGGGCGTACCGAGGTAGCGGGGAGAAGCGGGTCGTGCTTTAACGGCGCTGCGCAGACGCCACTCACGGTCCGGACGTGACGTAGGGAGAGTTCCGGCTTCGGCCTCCGCCGCTGCCGCTGCCGCCGCCGCCGCCGCCCCCGCCGCTGTCGCCGCGGTTTGTTATTCCTAAAATGGCGCCGCTAGACCTGGACAAGTATGTGGAGATAGCGCGGCTGTGCAAGTACCTGCCAGAGAACGACCTGAAGGTGAGCCCTGCCGGGGCCAGAGCGCTGCTTACAGGCTCGCCCCTTCCGGCTGTGGGGCGCCCGCCGGCCCGCCCTTCCTCTCTCCCTGGGACCCCCGCCGGGTATCCCGTGTCCCGTCTCTCCGCGGTGGAGGGCCCGCCCCGATGCCATGCGACCCTGTCCGACCCGGCGTGACGCCAAGGGTTGGGGGAACCAAGTCCCCCAAATGCTGTCCCAGTTGCCTCAGTGGGTATCCCAAGGGATTTCGCGGCCTCTACCCCAGGGTCGCCCCTTTTGGCCTTCGGGCTGCCCCGGGACCCGTAGCTGCAACAGCTTTGCTTACAAGACTCAGCTTTCCACCCCATCCCGGGATCTCCGGCAGTCGCTGCCGAGCCCCGGCGGCAGTGCCCTCCGGATGGGATCGTCCCCGCTGGAGGTGACAGGAGCGCAGAGTGGCCGGCGTCTGACAGGAGATGCCACCGGCTCTTGCAACGCGGCCCCAGTGTGTTTGTTTAGGTCTCTGAGGAAGGAGAAGGCGGTGGGTCCGAGTGGTTTGCTACTGACGAGAGCGAATGTCAGGTCGTCTCCCTTCTCTGCTAACTCCTCCAACTCCTCCAAATTGCCTTTTAGGACCGTGGGTTTTCTTTTGCTAATTCAGAGGTGAACCCGTTTCTGAGTATTTTGTTGAGCTTACTGAAGTGGAGAAAGTAGTTTGTTCTTAATAAATACAAATACTTTCCCCTTAATCCCTTCTTAACTCAAGATTTCGTTTTCTCGGTTTTTTAAAGATGAGTTCCTTGTTGCTCTTGAGTCCAAGTAAATGTATGTATGGGTAAAAGAATGCGTTTGATATACTGTTTTTCTTTTCAATTTACTATTATTCATTTATTTTATTTTTCTTTGAGACGGAGTCTCTGCCGCCCAGGCTGAAGTGCAGTGGCGTGATCTCAGCTCACTGTAGCCTCCGCCTCTCGGGTTCAAGCGATTCTCCTGCCTCAGCCTCCTGAGCAGCTGGGATTACAGGCACATGCCGCCACGGCTGGCTAATTTTTGTTTTAGCAGAGGTGGGGTTTCACCGTGTTGCCCAGGCTGGTCTTGAACTCCTGACCTCGTGATCTGCCGGCCTCGGCCTCCCAAAGTGCCGGAATTGCAGATGTGAGCCACCGCACCCGGCCATTATTATTATTTTTTATTGAAACAGCCTCACTCTGTCATCCACGCTGGAGCGCAGTGGCGCGATCTTGGCTCACTGCACCTCTGCCTTCTGGGCTCGAGTGATTCACCTGCCTCAGCCTCCCGAGTAGGTGAAATTACAGGCGCGTGCCATGACACCCAGCTGTTTTGTATTTTTAGTAGAGACGGGTTTTCGCCATGTTGGCCAGGCTGGTCTCGAACTCCTGAGCTCAATTGGTCCGCCCACCTCGACTTCCCAAAGTGCTGGGATTACAGACGTGAGCCCCGCACCCATCCTAGGTACGCTGCTTTTTTGAAAAGTGTTTATGCATTTGCTGAAACCAGTGCTTAGGTTTCTAGCAGTGCTTATCAGCTCGTTCTAGTTATTTATCTTACTCAGTGTATTCTTCAAGAAATGTATTACTGTGAGGCTGGGCGCGGTGGCTCAAACCTGTAGTCCCAGCACTTTGGGAGGCCGAGGCGGGTGGATCACGAGGTCAAGAGATCGAGACCATCCTGGTCAACATGGTGAAACCCCGTCTCTACTAAAAAAACAAAAAAATTAGCTGGGCATGGTGGCGCATGCCTGTAATCGCAGCTACTCAGGAGGCTGAGGCAGGAGAATTGCCTGAACCCAGGAGGCGGAGGTTGCGGTGAGCCGAGATCACGCCATTGCACTCCAGCCTGGGTAACAAGAGTGAAACTCCGTCTAAAAAAAAAAAAAAAAAAGAAATATATTACTCTGGGTTTTGTTTTGTTTGTTTTTTCTTTGGTATAGGAAGTTGATACTTAACATCAGTCAACAAGTATGCATAATGTTTGAGACTACACATGCTGTTGTGAATGTAACTGAATTGTACTTATATGTTAATTTTATGAGGCATATTATAGGGGAGTCATTCTTGTGCATTCTCCTGTTTTTGTTTTTGTTTTTTTTGAGACGGAGTTTTGCTCTTGTTACCCAGGCTGGAGTGCAATGGTGTGATCTCGGCTCACCGCAACCTCCGCCTCCTGGGTTCAGGCAATTCTCCTGCCTCAGCCTCCTGAGTAGCTGGGATTACAGGCACGCGCCACCATGCCCAGCTAATTTTTTGTATTTTTAGTAGAGACAGGGTTTCAGCATGTTGACCAGGATGGTCTCGATCTCTTGACCTCGTGATCCACCCGTCTCGGCCTCCCAAAGTGCTGGGATTACAGGCGTGAGCCACTGGGCCCGGCCTCATTCTCCTGTTTTTTTTTTTTTTTTTTTTTTTTTTGAGATGGAGTTTCGCTCCTGTTACCCAGGCTGGAGTGCAATGACGCGATCTTGGCTCACCACAACCTCCGCCTCCTGGGTTCAGGCAATTCTCCTGCCTCAGCCTCCTGAGTAGCTGGGATTACAGGCACGTGCCACCATGCCCAGCTAATTTTTTGCACTTTTAGTAGAGACGGGGTTTCACCATGTTGACCAGGATGGTCTCGATCTCTCGACCTCGTGATCCACCCGCCTCAGCCTCCCAAAGTGCTGGGATTACAGGCTTGAGCCACCGCGCCCGGCTCATTCTCCTGTTTTTAATAGGATAATTTAAAATACGGATAGAGCCTTCTTTGGTAGCAATGTAGCATACATACTCATCAGTCCTTCAGACATTTGTTTTGTGGCTTCTTTCTGCTATGTGTGTTTCTTTCTTTCTTTCTTTTTTTTTTTTTTTGGAATAAGAATATTACTAGCTTTGGGATCCAATTCATGGAAAACTAAACAGACCTCTTAGTAGCATTATTAATCCTGTAGGGGAGGTTGACTATTGCATGTCAATGAATTGTTGTGGAATTTTTTCTTTTTATTTATCTTGTATAAAGCTTTTTAAAACTTTGTGTTTATGATAAATAAAATGTTTTTGTTTTTGTTTTTGTTTTTTTTGAGATGGAGTTTTGCTCTTGTTACCCAGGCTGGAGTGCAATGGCGCGATCTCGGCTCACCGCAACCTCTGCCTCCTGGGTTCAGCCAATTCTCCTGCCTCAGCCTCCTGAGTAGCTGGGATTACAGGCACATGCCACCATGCCCAGCTAATTTTTTGTATTTTTTAGTAGAGACGGGGTTTCACCATGTTGACCAGGATGGTCTCGATCTCTTGACCTCGTGATCCACCCGCCTCGGCCTCCCAAAGTGCTGGGATTACAGGCTTGAGCCACCGCGCCCGGCCCATAAAATGTTTTTTTAATTTATTTTTATTTTTTTATTTTTATGAAAACGTGTCTCAGGCATGGCATAATCCAGAACTTTGGGAGGCCAAGGTGGGTGGATTATTTGAGGTCAGGAGTTCGAAACCAACCTGACCGACATGGGAAACCCCATCTCTACTAAAAAAAGCAAAAATTATCTGGGCATGGTGGTGGGTGCCTGTAATCCCAGCTACGTTGGAGGCTGAGGCAGGGTGAATTTCTTGAACTCAGGAGGTGGAGGTTTGCAGTGAGCAGAGATTACACCACTATACTCTAGCCTGCGTGACAGAGTGAGACTCGGTCTCAAAAAAAAAAAAAAAAGAAAGAAAGAAAGAAATTGGGCACTGAAATCATTTGAAAGATAATCTGGCCAGGTGCAATATCTCATGCCGTTTATCTAGGCACTTTGGGTGGCTGAGGCAGGTGATCACTTGAGGTCAGGAGCTTGAGACCAGTCTGGTCAACATAGTGAATTGAAACCCAGTCTGTACTAAAAATACAAAAACAAGCTGTGGGTGGTGGAGGGTGCTTGTAATCCCAGCTACTTGGGAGGGTGAGGCAGGAGAATCGCTTGAACCGGGGAGGCGTAAGTTGTGGTGACCCAAGATCAAGCCACTGCGCTCCAGCCTGTGTGACAGAGGGAGACTTCATGTCAGAAAAAAAAAAAAAAAAAAGAATCTGTTGGACTTCTTTGGACCTCTTACTTTGATAAACATTAGATTTCCTTCTTACCTTAACGAAATACAGTTTTTAGACCATTTTATTTCCTATTGAACACAACTGCATTATACTTTGCTTGTATTTGTTTTTCTTTTTTTCTTAAAAAATTTTATTTTTTGTTTTTATTTTTTGGGAGACAGGGTCTCACTGTCATCCATGCTGTAGTGTGGTGGCACAATCATGGCTCACTGCAGCCTTGACCTCCTGGGCTGAGGCAATCCTCCCACCTTAGCTTCCTCAGTAGCTGGGACCACAGACACGTGCCACCATGCCCAGCTAATTTTTATTTATTTTTTTTTTGGTAGAGACAGCGTCTTGCTATGTTACCCAGGAGAGTCTTGAACTCCTGGGCTCAAGTGAACCTCCCACCTCACTTCCCAAAATGCTGAGACAACAGGCATGAGCCACTGTACCCAGTCTGTATCTATTCTTCATAAACTTAAAAAAGTATATTTTGGGCAATCAAGACAAAAAATAATTCTGAATTTTTCTTTATAAGTAGAGACTTTTCTTCTGTCTTGGAAATGTTTTTATCAGATTAATTTGCTTATGTTGCTCATCTCTGGTGTATTTAAAGAAATTTAATTTTGTTTCTGTTTCTTGGCATGAAGCACAACCTAAAATTAGGCAGGCCAAGAAATACGCCAGGAAAATTTTTTCTGAGGCTATAAAGGCAAAAAAAAAAAAGATTTTATTAAGAAGAAAAGAAATCATTGAGGCCACTTGATGAACATGTTGGAAAAGATTTGTTCTGGTAGAAAATAAGACAGAAATGGCTGGGCGCGGTGGCTCAAGCCTGTAATCCCAGCACTTTGGGAGGCCGAGGCGGGTGGATCACAAGGTCAAGAGATCGAGACCATCCTGGTCAACATGGTGAAACCCCGTCTCTACTAAAAATACAAAAAATTAGCTGGGCATGGTGGTAC